AAGAAACTAGTCCGCATTCATGGGTACCGACACCATCATTCTTTGTGACGGTGATCAATTCTAATGAGACAATTAATAAGCTCACGCAGCATGAATAATAGCCGAGATCACCGCGAACCGTTCCTGGTCCATCCACCGTCTCCCATCAGCCCATGTTGTGCCTTACACGTTTTGTTTCCAGAGAATCGGAGCGGTACGGGGCGTCAGCGCGCTTTGTGCGGGACACAGGCCTTCGTGTGAGTTCCCGCTCAGAGGAGCTCTCACGGCCGGCTCCGGGAGATCGGAAAACTCCCAGCGGCCCGGGCGGGAACACAGCCCGGAGCTGGGCGCCGGGTTGGGGGCGGAGTCGCGGTATAATTTAATCTGCCGGTGGCTGCGGCGAACTCAGCCGCAGGGTGGCGGAGGCTCTGATGGATCGGCGACCGTCCGCGGCCGCGGAGATATCGGGAGGCAGTGGAGACAACACGGGAGAGACGAGGAGGTGCGGGAGCGTAGGAGTCAGTCGTGGAAAGACAGAAGGGAAAACCAGGAGGGAGCAGGGATATGGGATCATGTCCCGGCATTGGTAGAAGTATCCTTTGAATGTGTGAGGCTAGTGAAACATTCAAGTCATATTTAGTCATATTTAGTCACTGTTTCAAGTCATATTTAGAGTGGTATTTTACAGCTTAGCTGGACGGCTGCCTGTGTAAAATGGAATAAATACAACCAATCCACAAAGAAAGTTTATCAATTATTTCAGCAGCACCTGAACCGAGGCGCCACTATGTGAAGCGATGTAGATTTAATCCTAAAATAGGAACTACATCGGCTATCAAATCGATCCTACTATCAGACCAAGAATACAAGGAAACTCCCGATCTGTCCTCATTAAACGACACATCGCTGATTTCTCCACCGGAAGACATGTCTGTCACTCCGTTCAGCAATGTTTATGTCTGCAGATCATTAATGTGACGATGTAAGCACCACTCGGACACGTTTAACCCGTCTGGCTCTGGTCACAAATTAACACAGTGCACGACAGCTGCTAATTGCCGCTTCGCCTGAATTTCGTCCCGGTTTCTCCGGAACTCTACATATTCACATAATGGTTGACGGCTGTCTGTCACTCTGCGTCTGCAAACCAGACCGAAATAGCCAGTCTCTCCTCTTCCGGCCCTTGTTTTGGCGCCAGTCGCGAGGAGGGCCACCTCGTTAACACGTTCTGTAGCACAGCGCCGCCGCCGCGGACGCGTCTTGTAGACCAGTTCCGGGAGAGTTCCTATCTCTTCCGGCGGAAGTATTTCCGTTTCTCTCTCTCGTCTGAGGTGTGCGGATCGACCCAGATCCTGAATCCCGATAGACTGTCGGAGGGCGATCCGACCCGGGTGTGCAGTGCCCCGGGGCGGGCGGGCGCCGGCTCTGAGCACTTGCTGCCGGTCACGACTCGGCCACACAGTGACGAAGCCGACAGAGAAAGTCCCGGTGCCGCCCCCTGCTTCGTGGCGGAACGATCACACAGAAGGCCACGGCGGCAAATGAGCGGCGCTTAGGTGCTCCACATGTGTCCGACCCACACGAAAACTTCCTGCTACAGATAAAAGAGGCAGCTGATTTGTGGTTTTATGGAATTGACAGAAAACTCTCGATATCCGAGTGTGTAAAAAAGAGTTTGCATAACTTAACTTTTACATAACTTTTACACTTATCCACTTTGACACGTACAAGTATCCAAATTAAAGCTATGCAATTCTTAGCACTTTTGAATATTTAATGTTCATTTCTTTCCTTAATTCATGAAAGATGGCGTCAAAACCCTAGACCTAAGCCCATAACACGCGAGCATTGACAAGGTAATGTCACGATACCAGCGCTTTATTGAACACCGTTTTCCCGGCTCTTTTCCGGGTTTTCACTCGCCCAGATAAGTGAATGTTTCTCCAGCATGTATGTAGAGCCTGAGAATCGAGCTTTCGCTTGTCTTTTATCGATTATCGATCGACTCAACCGAAAGCTCCTACGGCTCGAAACCGGCTAGGTTATTTATACGAATGACTTGCAATGTCCCTTTGTGCCTAGAGTTCCAATGGCGATTGGAGAAATGACCACCCGATGATCGAATACGATGTAGCTGGACGTAATGTCACTACAGTAATAGAGAAATTGAACAAAATGTCCAAGGTATTAGCGGAAAAGCCCTATTTTTCGATATTTTTGATAGTAGGCATGTTATGCTTAATTGGCTTGCCATAGCCTTGAGGCAATTTTTCATTAATGATTTGGTAGTTGGTAGTGACTAGTGAAGGCTGTAATATATAAATTGTAGAGTATGTTTGACATTTGAACTTCAACGTTGATAACTCGCACTCGTATTTGAAGCGAAATACAATCAACAAGCTTCGCGTTCCTCTATAAGCGCATTTGCACTATGCTTATCAACTTTGAATAGCACAATGCAATGCGAAACCGACGCCTTATCGCGAGAATATCAGCTTTGCCGTAAGAAACAAGGCCATTTCCGTCGTCCATGAGCTGCCCCGACCTCAAGACCGACAGGATCGATTGTTAGCGACCAAACCCACCCGCTACAAAGTGTTGAGCAATCCATTGTGGTGGTTTCGCAGCGCGGAAGTCGTTTGTAAATTAGCCACGGCCTTGATTGTCGCCGACTGATTGACAGGGAACAATGACGACCTCGACGAAAAGTTCACGACCTGCGGGGGCGGAGGATCCATCGAGAGAGAGAGAGAGAGAGAGAGAGAGAGAGAGAGAGAGAGAGAGAGAGAGAGAGAGAGAGAGAGAGAGAGAGAGAGAGAGAGAGAGAGAGGGAGAAAGAGAGAGAGAGAGAGAGAGAGAGAGGGAGAGAGAGAGAGAGAGAGAGAGAGAGAGAGAGAGAGAGAGAGAGAGAGAGAGAGAGAGAGAGAGAGAGAGAGAGAGAGAGAGAGAGAGGAGAGAGAGAGAGAGAGAGAGAGGAGAGAGAGAGAGAGAGAGAGAGAGAGAGAGAGAGAGATGTGCGGGATGGAGGCACAAGATACTTTCCAAAGGATGAGCCGTAATCGCCACGCCATACGTGGAAGGCTTTTGGTGTCAATACATACATACATGCATACATACAGATGATCCTTGCTCTTTCTCGCTCTCTCCTCTTTCTCTCTATCTTTCTTTTCTCTCGCTCTCTCCCTTTCTCACTCACTCACTCTCTCTCTCTCTCTCTCTCTCTCTCTCTCTCTCTCTCTCTCTCTCTCTCTCTCTCTCTCTCTCTCTCTCTCTCTCCCTACCTCTCTGTACCTCCGTCTCCTTCAGTCTTTGTCTTGTTTAGCACCACAGAGGGCATGAAATATGGTATGAATTATACATATTACATAATTATATCAACTACATTATGCTACCAAGGTCCGCTTTGCAAGCCGCAGGTCCTCTGTTTTGCAACGTACTCGGATTGAGAATGTCCAGCGTCCGTGCAAACCGGACATTTAGACTCGGCTCCTGACGACACAGAATGCAGGAGTTGCGGCCACCCGTGTGATAATCCACAGTCACTTTTCATCAGAGTTGCCGAGAGTGAATACTGAGTACCTACGTCGAGCGGTCGGGCTAACTGTCGATGTCCTCATCTTTTAGCTTGAGGGATGGGTGTTATGGGTAAGTCAATAAACTGGCTCGGCATAACTCACCTCCCCCATCCTCCCCACCCCTCCCCGTTGCTCTGTCCCCTTCCCTGTTTTCCTCCCTCTCCCTCCCAACTTGCACAAGTCGTCCGCGTGCAGCCCCCATTTGTGAGGCGTTATCGCGCCGATCTGCACCACACAAACGCTGGCCGCTCCGCGTGCCTAGTTCCGTGCCGCTCGTGGAAACACCAAGCTGGTGCCGCTGCTGGTGATGGTAGTGGTGGTGGTGGTGACGGTGGTGATGAAAGAAATGGTTTAACTGTGCGGTAAAACGAAGAATTCGCTCATCGGCAGTCAATAACACTGCTACAGTGCAAAGCACTGAAAGGCTGACCTGGAATCCCGAGTACCGTTCGGCCGCATTCGGTGCATTCATACGCTAGTTCAGTTCCTGATAAAACGCACAATCCCTGCAGGGAAGCAGTGCAGAATCGGGTTGCACCCCAGAACATTTTACCTCGTTTCGACAAGGCTAGTCGGGTCTAATAATCATCAATATTAAACAAGACATGCGATCGCTTGTATCTGTAGGACCCACAATTTCCTTCGGAAAGCTTCCAAGACACGAAGTAAGCTCTTGCTTCTAGTCACATTCTGAACCATGTTTTCACCTCAACCTATCTTGCAAATTGCACGCTGCAGCTATGACCAGCGGGCTGGTTATGAAGGGAGGGACAGACTGTAAAGGTTAGGCGGCAGGCGCGATTAGACAGCCCAGCGTGCAAGGTGCCGGGAACACAAGTAGACAAGGAAGCAGTTGTGTGTCCGCCACCAATCACGGGGGGACAAAGACAGGGGAGGTCAAGACAGATCACGGACAAAGACAGGGAAAAGCGGAAACGTGGTGGTTTATCTGGGCCGATTCCGTCACGGAAAATACTGACTAGTGACTCGGAGTGTGCGATATAAATGTTATGGCCCTAACGCTGCCAGATATGCCGGCTTCCGCTCCAACAAACGTGTGCGGTGTCGCTCATGAAAGGAACGGATTGTGGCTTATATCAACCTTCATCGATAAGCGATGATAAACACTTATCCGAAGCACACATTTTCATAATTTGTGCCACAAAGTACCGAGGTTTGTTTGAGCACGACTATATTGTAAAGCCTAAGCGAGGCAGCTGCGTGACCAATGGAAAGACATCCAGGATTCCCAAGATAGACGAACTTGATGATATGCATTGCATACGATAAAGGTATATGACGGACATAAGGGTTTGGACGTTACCGGTTTTGAGCTCGTGAGAAGGCGTGACTTCGTCGAGCAGGGATCGCCGAGAGGAAGCATAAATGGCCGGTCAGGGCTCCATCGAGGGCCACACAACACTCCCCGATCTAAATCACACCTACCTCGGTCGTCTGCTGCGGTCTGCGTGTCCCTCCGTCCGTGTCAGTTCCGTCGCGTCGGTGGCGCCCGGACCTGCGAGTGTCCGCTGCACGACCTGGCTGTCCGCTGTCCGCTGTCCTCGCGGGCCCGTCGGACACAACACTCCTCACCGCGGCTGACACCTGACTGAGAGGCCGCCGCACCGCACCGGAGCCGCCGCCGCCGCGCCGGCCGCAGTCCGTCTCGCACCTGACGGCCGCGGCGGAATGGAGAGAGCCGCACTGCCATCTAGTGTCAAAAGGAACAACTACTGCTCTAACAGAGGACGCGGCGGTCACTTCAGAACGACGCGATTGTTCGGTGCTTTCTTCACAGTTCAAGGTTTCACGGTTAAAAATACTAGTTCACACGATTTCCATTATCACCGTTCCGTGCTTCTATCCTCAGGATACTGAAATCCTTCTCCTCCACGCCGCAACCCCCCTCCGGACTGGACAGGCAACTTTATCTCATGCGGGCTGCTCCCTTGGAGCGGCACCGCTGCTCCCGAGGGAGCGCACCCCGTAGCCGGGTGCAGTGAGTGCCTTGGGGCTGGGTGGCCTGTCCTCTGGACGGGCTCAGCCCCGGCGACTCACTAGGGTGCCTGCCCAGACCAATGTCTCCCCCTATATCCTATCATCCTCCCGGCTCTGCAATGGTCTCATTGGACCAAAAGGGCCTAACCCAACAAAACAAAAAACAAACGATTTCTATATTGAACTCCTGCATGAAATGGCATTCACCGTTGAGTGCATTTCACAATGATTATACGAAAGTCGCTTATTTTTTAAATGGAAAAGTGACACGACACTTCAGTTCTTTGGTTGAAGCGCCAAATTTCGCTCATTTGTGAGAAATGGAGGAAACCGAGTGCCGGGTTGTCATTAAGCATCTTCATTCACAAGGCATACCTTCATCTAAAATTAACCATCGCCGGACCTATCGGCTATCGGGTCTTTTCATAGCTACATCGGTCGGGGGAGACCCCCTCGCGGTTTCGTCCCTAATTGAGCTAGAGCTTCGCAGAAAAAAGGTAGGTTTACGCCGGTAAGAGGTGCAGCGTCTGGTGCTCGACTTTAAGGTCAACCGGTGACCTCTGAGGCTAGGTCAAGTATCCTTAATTATGGGTCGGGCTTTTGGCGAAATAGCCAAAAGCGTATGCAGAACTGCTATTTTGTTATCATCGTGTTCGTCATGCTCAAGGGCGTTGATTGAGTGAGAATGTTTTGTTTTGTTTGAGTGAAGTCAACTTAAAATGTTAACCTCTTCTGCCTAAGTCAAGGTGAAGCCGCTCATGTCACGAGGCTGGTTGAAACAGGTCATACCTACCGTATATTGCTTTATTTGAAAGATAGGTATTTCTGAGTTTATTGGGGGCTTTGTCGACTCACTTATGAAATAAAAAGATTGCCGTTGTATGTGAAACAGTACCTACAATTTGAACTTTTCTGCGTCCTGAGATGTCGTAGGTGCAAGCGAAATGACCAACGAGGTTGGCGTTGCCGTGGTTTCAAATCATGCAAGATGCCTTCATAAATACTCGAATATTCATAAGTCAGCATGCCGTTACATGCGATTTACGCATGTGTATTGTGATTGGTCGAGACTGACTTATCTCGTGACGTCACAGATCATCATCTATTCAGATTACTATCCACCGCTCAAATCGAGGATATCCATCATATCCTGACTCATTTTAGTCCCCTAGATGGTATGACAGACAGCTCGCCATTGTGATTTGGACAAATTTGACCTATTTTGACCTTTATGTGACGTCACAGGTAGCAAATTGAGGTCGTCGAGATTTTATGTTGAGCATCTCGGTAAAATCTTTAGAAAGCCGTTTGAATGTAAAAGATCCGACTACTGATTCCGGAGATGAGACGCCTTCCCGCCCCCCCCCCCCATCCCCCAACAGGTACAGGACCTATAAGAACCTGTCAGACCTTAATGGGGTGCGGGTTAAGGTTCGAGATGCTCATTTCAAACAGCAACAACCAAAATTGAAGATAAACAGGCGTCATGATGACCGTCAGCTTCGACGAAACCGAAATGTTTGGACACTATCATTTTATCAGTATTCTTTTTTCATGGTAATAAATGTTACAAAAAAAAATGTGCTCCCCAGAAACAATGCAGCAAATATTCGAGTAGCTCAATGGTAGGTACTGGTACTTACGTACATAAAGGACTAAAGGCACACTTACTCTGGTTGAATGAACAATGAACATTGCATATAGCCCAATGCAAAGTCATTCACATTGAACAAATATTGTTTTTCCAATAAGAGTGCATGTTCCATGTTTGTGCTCTGCAGTGCAAAACAGCCGAACTCGTCGATCGGCGGCGGACTGCAGGTCGGTGCTCCCGGCTGAATTGCCATGGCGACTGGCCCCGTATTGAGCGTCAACAAAGCCATCTGTCATCCCTCTCCAGAGGCCGTCCTGGCGCCGCAATACAAACGTGCGTGACCAGGGGGGGGGGGGGGAGGGCCTCCCGGGGCAGGCAGAGGAAACACTGACCTTTGGAACATCATCAGCAGCTGAAACCTGTGGGAGCCGGATGTATTGCTGAGCTCACCGATACTGATCAAAAGCGTTCATTATTTGAGATTCGATCTCGTTTGTAATAATGTGATACCTAGTAAATTTTCAGTTGTTGTGGGGGCGTTAAAGGTAGACTGCCACCTTTTTTCCACAAAACGGTTTTCACTAGAGCTGAGCCACCTATGTCCCAGACTGAAGTCGGTTTTCCGAAATTCGAACCCGTTTGCGAGAAATCGGAGACCAAAGTTCAGTTTGATGCCATTTTTTTAGTCCAAGAAAACCGACATCTCTACTGTTTATCGATAACTTTGAAACATGAATTTTCTTATCTTTTGGTAAATATATGTCAAAACTTTGATTGTTTCGAGATCAGAGAAGAATTTTGGAGTGTCAAAATAAAAGTTAAACTTATATATTCAGTAGTTCATTTTTTCCAAAAAAGTGTGGGAAATGGGGTTTAACATGGGCCGCAGACCCATTCCAAATGAGCCATGATTTTTAAATGTTTTACGAACTTAAATGCAAAATAAATTAAACATGGCCAATTTCTTATGAAATCATATATTAGTAAATCATAAAATACCTTACTTTTTCAAATAAAATGTAATAATCTTATGACCTTGAAGTCTAGTGATGTGTAAACATTGTCGCTAGACATTAACCGATTGATAATTGTATGATAATAGACAATTTTTTTCGCGATTCACGTGATGATACTTTGTCAGGTGAATTCTAAAATTTTGTTTTGTCCAGGGAATAAATCATAGGCCGATCTGAGAAAACTTTTTGAAGGTGGCAGTCTTCCTTTAATAGAACATACTTTTTCACAGGCTGATATACTGACTTTTTTACGCCGTTTTTGCCAATGACTTGACCTGTTGGTGGGACGTGAATTCCTGTTGGTGATTTTCACTAATAAAACGACCAACTGTTTGAACTGGATGGGAAAAATAGATGATGCTTGCTAGCGTACAGACATACTTATATGCACATAAACACGTACATTCTCATGATGTTGAATATCTAAAGCTGACACATTTTATGCCAGTGTTGAATGCAAATTGGCCAAAAGCATACCTAATATTTTGACAAGAGTAGCCTTAATTATGCGTCATTAACACAAAATATAATTACAAAGTAAAGCAAAAAAGACAGTTCATGCTGACAGGTACGTGTTTTCCATGCATTGGTAAAGCGGCGCCATAATGCTATTACGTGGTGTGTAGGCGCTGATAAATGCTAAATAGGTACAATGGCATAGATAACATGAATCATGATTCATGCTATCTATATGACAATGGTATTGCAAGGACGCGACGCATGGCTTGCCGGAGAAGAGTCCTGATTATTTTCATCGCAACAAGTGTGTCAAAAATATAAATGTGATGATTGATATTTCTTACTTTTCTTATCTTTTCCGGAAACCAATCACCTGTCATAATTCTAAATGCTATTTCACAGACCATCCGGAGAAAACGTTCAGCAAAGAGCACATTGACGAGGATGTGTTTCGCAGCAGAAGCTTCTTCCTTGGAACAAATTATCCAGGATAGAACGTCAGCGTCACAGAAATAATCTCAAAGTCCAGCAGACATACGATCCTCCGATATCTGCAAGGCACTGATGGCACCAAAGCCAATCCTGAAGTACTGCGAATGCTGTCCAGGGCACTGGCTAACTGATACTGTCCAGAGGTCTAACCATGTCAATCTAGGTTCTCAATTGCCTGCTTTAGTCGGAATATAAAGAAGACAATCTGCAGTTGCTTTGAATGAATATCACTGACGATACTACCGACTGATAACATCGAAAGGGTCGATAAATCACGCCATTTGCAGTGAGCCTCGTACCCCGGGGACTCTCAACCAGTCGCATCTTCCCAACCCAGACCTACCCTCTGCTGGGAAGGTACAAACCATGAGCTCGCCGACCCTCGAACACTCCGTAACCGGATAAGACCGTTATTGGCCCGTGCACCCCTCGAGGGGGTGTAGCCCGGAGACGCGCCGCGCAGCAACATGCGGGCGTCGCGTCGGCGTCGGCGGCGAGAGGACCGTCAGTGCCGACGTGGCGGCGCCGGAGGACGCGCGTGCGACCGACGGCCCGCCGCCAGCGCCGTCGGGCCCGTCGGCACTCGACGGCAGACCAGCTGTGCGGCGCGGGCGGGGACCAAGTGTGGTGAGACGGTGGTGTGTGACAGCTTCTTCGCGTGAGAAGTCGAGCAGGAGGAACTGTTATCAACACATGCGGTGCTGCGCTAACTGCAAAAAAAGAGAAACACGGAGAAGCAGAACCGCTACCATCCAACGGTCTGTTCGGTCAAGGTAAGTGCTCATAGTCTTTCCGCTGGCCTCTTGGTGTAATGATGCAATCGAGAAGCGAGATTTGACGTTATAAAATGCTTTAGCTGAGAGCAATATTACAAATTGCTACTTATGGCGTAGGTAGTGCGCAATCCTTCCATCATGCGTCCAACATCCTATCGATCTTATCTATTACCTTGTCAGACACCTACTCGGAAATACCAAAAGGACGATGGATAAGGCAGTGTTACGTCAATCATCGCAACGGTGATTGAATTTGGTAAATACCTACTCAGTGGATTCATACCTAATGTGTCGGAGTTGTCCAATGTTGCCTGCAGAAATTTTGTTGGTATATCACCTAAGGAGGTGTTTCTGTCGTCCTTCTTCCAAGTTAGAAAAATCAACAAAGTCGTGAAAAACTCCCAATCCCGTTAGAAAATTTGACTTGAAAAAAAAAATCGATCAGCGCCTACTACTCTCATGCTGTGCAATAGCCGCACCATCCCAGCTCGTTTTCATAAATCAAGCATTCAATTTCAGACAAATTATGCAGCGAACCATGTGGCAATCATCTCTTATTACTTGCGTTGAACACCACATAAGGTACACGATCCGCTGGACTTGATCATCGACATTGTTACGGTGATTATCAGCTATCGTTTCCATTCGAACTAATGGGCACAAAGCCTACTGACCTATTGACATTCGGAGTTCAATTGAGACCGAACGATTCACCCATCTCGAATGGCGAGGAAGCCTCCCCTCCGCAGCCGGGGGGGGGGGGGGGAGTCCATTATAAGCCGGGCGACTCTCGGTATAGGTCTGCGGATTTTGAACACTGATCGAAGAGCAATGCATGTACACCGAATGCGCGTAAAACTTCCTTCATTACTGATGAAGATATTGAATCCCAAATTAGATTTGCGTGACTAGATGGGAGCAAGAGCCAAGAAGAGATAACAAACATTCTAACTAGGAAATCGAATAAAAGTGTTCTCATATATCTTTCATAACCCCTGTGCATCGAAACGGCCCCGCCTTTTGCGATATGATCAGCTATAGGGACTGACCAATGCGGCTCTCCTGGAAATATTCCATCCAGATCAGATTACATTATACACGGACTGAGGTCTCGATGCGCCAGAGATCACACAGTGGCTCTGCCTGCGATGCAGCAAATATAATTAGGCGGGCTTCCTGGGCCACGTGAACGGCAATTAGGGGCGTATATGCAGCGACCCCGTGGATAATCGCCTTTTGCATTCTCGTCGGATCCATCAGACTAGACGGAACGCAAATGTAGACAAAAAAGGCACACAGCATTGTCTGTCAGTGCATTGATCAATTTGGCAACAGATTCAGATTCACTTATTCACATTCAAAAATAATTGGGCGTCTACGGACCACTTAGGACTGCTGGCAAACAATTTAAACAATATAATTTGACGTTGACGTTGAAACAAAAAGCAATGAGCGTAAACTCTAAGCGCGGCACGGCCAGATAACAGAGTTATCTCAAGTCAAAGCTTAGGGGTCATGTGTGCGGACTGTTAATGCTCCTTCAAAAATGATTTTACAGTAGGTATGAATTATTATTTTAAGCATATCTTAAAACAAATTTAAGCGCGGCACGCCCCGCAAGTAGGTGTTCCCAAGGGGAAGGGGGAATCTAAAGCCAAGAATAATGTTTTGTGGACTTAATATGTTTCTTCAAACATTATTTTACCGATATGAATTATTATTCTTAGCACACCTTTAAACAAAACTGAGCGCGGACGCCCCACAAGTAGGCGTTTTCAATGCAGGTCAAATCTTCTTACTTTTCCAGTTCTAATGACCTTTACGTTTATTTGGCCCGACGCACTTGTGGGGCGCGTCGCGATTAATTTTGTTACAAGTTATGCTAAGAATGATAATTCATATTGTCAAAATCGTATTTGAAGGAATATAAATAGTCCGCAAACTTTGGCCTGATTTAACTTTGTTGCTTGCTTCAAGGTTTGAACGTGCCACTCGTGGATTTTACGCTCATTGCGTTCGTAACGTCAAAGTCGATTGTCAAAATTGTTGGCAAACAATTCTAAGCAGACCGAAGACACTTAGTTGTTTTTGAATATGAATATGATTGTGAATATGTTGCCAAATTGATCAGCGACTCTTCAGTTGCTAGTAGCTTGCAGTGCCTGCCAAATTTAACCCTCGCCGGCCGAGGGGGGGGGGCGGGTGCCGCCCCCCCATAGGGTTTTTTCGCGATAGCTCCGAACACGCTGGCGATAGAGAGCTGAAACTTGGCATACCTGACCTTTGATCCAAGCCGCATCTTTTGACACCAACCGCATTTTTGGGTCAGGTCAGGTCACTGACCTATGACGTCATAAGTGAACCTCTGCACGGTCTTCAGATGTCGCAACTTCGCAACGCCCTCACTGCCAGAGGAGATGTCACAGGGAAATGAAACTTGCAGGATCTAGTATCCATTATGAGTCCCACAACTTGTATATCTCGGATTTTTCCTAAAGGTCATAAGAGGTCAGGTCATTTTCGTGACCTCACCATTATAAGTCAATGGGGAAAAATGAAAACTGCTATTCTGGCGCCGGGAACGATCTCCAACTATCTCAAGCACACCGAATCGTGATTTTATGCACTCCTTGCAAGGTTAGATGCGTCACTTTTGCAATGTTGACCTTGCGTGACGTCATTTATGACGTCATCAAGGTCATATTAGTTTTTCGTCAATAACTCTTGATCAAATTGAGCTAGCGAGTCGGAAAAGCCACCAATGGACTCAGGAAGACCTGCCGAATCGAATGATATGCGACATGACCTCTTTCGACCAACTTCGTGACCTGGGGGTGCTGACCTGACCTTGACCTGAGGTCAACACCCCAAGTTGACCTGACCCGGACAAAAAGTATACCATTCGACGCGCCTGAGCGAGACGAACACGATGCTGCCAAAATCGGCGCTCTGCGGCCGTTTTTTGCGAAGTTATTCACCAAAAACTGAACCGTACCTTGGGGCACTTGACCTGACCTCAGAGGTCACCGGTTGACCTAGGACCTTAAAATCGGGTACCAATCTCTGCGTCTCGTAACGGCGCACACGCTCGTTTTTTCCGCGACGCGCTAGCTCCACCAGGGGCGAAACGGCGAGGGGGGGGTCGTACCCGCCCCCCCCCCCTCGGCCGGCGCGTATGTAGAAAACCAATAGGTCCGGCGAGGGTTAAAACTCATGCTTATCTTGACTTTATATGAGTGAAATTGTTATCCAGTCATGCGGCATGGTTATCGATTTAGACGTTTTGAAATTATACCTTAAAAATCAGGCAAGCGTGCAGTAAAGCTCTAATTTTATATTTCCTTCCATTTTCCAAATGTTTTGACATAGTTGATTGATGATGAACGACTTGATCATAACAAAGGAGCTGAGATGAACATACAAATATTTAGTAACACAGCACGCTCTGTTGAAACTGGGGCTGGCGGAAAAGGTGCAATAAATGTTTTTCGGCAGCTGCTGAAGCTAACTAGCTAGCTAGCTGAGCTGTAGCTGTAAGTAGCTGTAAGATGCTGCTTTCTTGTTTCCACATCTCTGGACACGATCAGTCCGCACATTATTGCCGTCAATCCGACAATCAATACAGCTCTGCTGCGCTAAACGGCTCTGTCCCAGACCTCAGCTCGTCTCGTCAGTCAGTAACTCTGACCGATTTCAGCAATAATCTCCATCTGCCGAGCCCGATCGGCAGCGTAGTGACAGAGGCAGGCTTTGGCGGAGATCTGAAACCAAACGCCTGCACAGACAGCCGAGGCCGACCCGACGGGCAGCTGGACAGCCTCAGCGGCTGGACTAGGCTCGATGTTCTAGCGGCCGGACTCGTTGCCTTAGTAGCACGACTCACTCACTGTCCCAGCGAATGAACTTGCTGTCCTAGCGACTGGACTCGCTTCCCCAGCATTTGGACTTACTACCCTGACGCAGCGGTTGGGTTCCTTCTCCGGCGACTGTGGACCCGGATAGCGTCAGACCGCTGCACGCCGCCTCCTCTCAGGCACACACACGATGAAGAATACTCCCTACGGACACGGCGGAGACGAGGAACTGCTCTTTGGCGATTGGACGTCAGTGTCGCCGGCTGGCAGAGCGACCCCCGCGGAGCACTTTATTCGGTCCCTGGGGGCTACTCGACGCAAATGTGTCTCCGCACGACAGATAGCTGCTATAAGCAAAATGGATTAGTTTTGTTTTGCTCCAGTCAGTCATGGCTGAGTGATTAGTTATGTTTCTCTCAGCTATAAACATGAGTGAATTACTGAAAATCCTGTGAGTGATAATGTAAGTTGTTAGACTGATATACGCAATAGAACCTGACGAAATAGGCACATGTAGGTAGGCCAACGGTTGATATTTCAGATAAGACGTTATTCTAGATCCAGTATTGCATTCATTCAGCACATATGTCATATAGCTCCCTTTTTTACACTAAAATTAAACGATGTGTTGTGTTTTCAGGCCCGCCTGTCACCATGAACTGACGTTGGTCCGGCCACACCATGTCCTCTGAGGCACCGGAGAGCCAGCCGACGGACCTGAAGGGCTGCCCTGCGGACCTAGCAGAGATGCGGGAGCCGGTATCGGACCAGACCCCTCCGCCGGACCACCAGCAGCAGGCGGCCGCGCTCTCTGACGAGGCGGTGACGGCGTTCCTCACGGAGCGTCCCCAGTTCGTGCAGCAGTGGCTGCGACAGCGCGGCGGCAGCGCGCTGGGCACCGTCGCGCCGCCGGTGGTGCTGCGCAGTCGGAACTCAATCACGGACGACCTGTTCCGTGACCTGCTGGAGCAGCGGCGCGGCTCCCCGACACCCGTCACCAGCTCTGTGACACCCAGCTCGGCGGCGCTCGACGAGAACGAGCTCATGATTGAGCTCATCAGGGATATCGCCAACGAGTTCGACATCCACCTGCTCTGTCGGAAGATCATGAAGAACGTGGGGGTGCTGACGCACGCCGACCGCGGCAGCCTGTTCCTGGCCAAGGGCTCGCGAGGGCATCGCTACCTGGTGGCCAACGTCTTCGATGTCATGGGTGACGAGGAGGGCGCAGGTGGGTGAATAGAGTGAGGACGGAGGTGAGTTGAGTGGGGACGGAGGTGAGTTGGGAGAGAACGGAGGTGAGTTGGGAGATAACGGAGGTGAGTTGGGAGAGGACGGAGGTGAGTTGGGAGAGGACGGAGGTGAATAGAGTGAGGACGGAGGTGCTCGCTCTATTCACCAAAGATGGAGGCACATCTTTGTTTGCTAGAGGTCATGCAAAATCAGAGTAGGTACCTAACGGCTAACGCAACGGAGTCCGTCAAATATATATAATAATTTCAATAGAAAAGTTCGAGAAAACGTATGATTCACATTTCAAATGCCACTAACTGATGAGTTTCTAATAGCTTTCTAAATGTTAAGAATTTGCAGTGGAATTGAATATTGACCAACTGCAAGCCAAATGTACTCTGACTTATGACAGAGTTCCTGGAACAATTCAGTTTAGTGAGCATACTCAAAGTCAATTACATGTTGATTCTATTACATTGTCGAGTCTAATTCATAATTTGTCGATATTGCAGCATTTGCCAGCACCAATTCATTAATGCCAGTAGACTGGGCACATGCAATGTCATTAAAGCTGCCGTCGCAGCCCGGCCTTCGGCGAATGTCAAATGTGTCACGTATCCTGGGAATTTTATGTTGATGCTGAACGTGAACATGGTATCCCAAGCGAAATTGAACAGTCGGCGTCAAAGTGCTGACCTTTGTGTGACATTGCACTTTGACTTGTTCAGGAGACATGAAGCGGGCCATGCCCGTCACAGCGGTCTCATGCCACCGTCCCTAGTGAAAAAATCTTACAGGGTAGCCCTGTATGGTTGACCCTACAGGATTTTTGACGAAATTGTTACCAGGGTTCCTACAGGGTATCGTACAGGGTACCGTGCACGGTGTCGTACAGGGTACCGTACACGGTGTCGTACACGGTGTCGTACAGGGTGCCGTGCACGGTTTCGTACAGGGTGCCGTGCACGGTATCGTACAGGGTGCCGTGCACGGTGTCGTACAGGGTGCCGTGCACGGTGTCGTACAGGGTACCGTGTACGGTGTCGTACAGGGTACCGTGTACGGTGTCGTACAGGGTACCGTGCACGGTGTCGTACAGGGTGCCGTGCACGGTGTCGTACAGGGTGCCGTGCACGGTGTCGTACATGATACCGTGCACGGTGTCGTACAGGATGCCGTGCACGGTGTCGTACAGGGTACCGTGCACGGTGTCGTACAGGGTACCGTGCACGGTGTGGTACAGGGTGCCGTGCACGGTGTCGCACAGGGTATCGTAAAGGATCTCGTACAGGGCACCACACTCGCCATTCTATAAGTATTCCGCATCAATTGTTATTGTGCTGTTGAGCCGATTGACCAGGAATGCTAAAAAGACCCACGAGTTTCCGCGTTACCGACAAAGTCAATATTCGGAATAAATGTATTTCTGGGATAAATACACAGCCATTTCCGGGTCACATCCCGTCACATTACGACACACGTCGTCGCGTCGCGGCTGCCGCTCCGTCCATCTATCTACGAATCTCGAGTGGTGGTGTCGCCCGACGATCCTCGCATCCTGCGTTCCTGTAACAAGGTGGATATTCACATGTTACAATGATAATATATTGATTGAAGGGACCCCTGCCGTCGAAAGTAACTAATCGGCATATAAGTGATACATACAACGCGATACAAAGTGATCGACATACAACATTATTTTGATGTTGTATCACACTTTTGCATACCTATCAATCTCCTATCAACCAAATACAACGCAAATTCAACGTGAAATAAATGCTGGATCGATGTCGAAAAACGGTTGATCCTCAATGTTGACAATCAACCTGGATACAACCAATTTATAATATTGAATTAATGTTGTGTGCTACTATGTAGTAGCGTCGACGCTACTAATGCGCTCTGGTATCTGATAGTAGACATTTAAATGTCTATTTTTTCAGCTATCTTTTTCGATCAGCTATTTTTGAGTGAACGTTTCGGCGCCATTTTTTTTGTCTGTAATGCTGCCAATATTGAGAACAATTTTCGTATTGTTACACAGCAATACAGCATGGCAGAAACTTACCTTCAGGTCGGAAGAAGAGACGGCAGACGACACCGCACGGCACACACTCGACACTTCCGTCGGCTCTCCGCACACCGCGAGCGAGCAGTGAATGGGACGGACGGAATGCGGCGGAGGGGGACGCGCGCTCCCCTCTCCACCCCAGGCGAGGATCGGGACGCCCGCCGCCGACCGTACGGTCTCTAAAACAGACAGTGGGCGCTAAATTCCAGTCGGTACAGTCTCTGAAAGATCACCACAGCGCACAAATGCACACTAGTTAGTCCCCGAATAATACAGTACAGCAACGCGTGATAATGTTATGAAGGGATTAGGGAGTTATGAAGTGAATCGATTCTTTTATAGGGATAAATTCACAATTCGTAATTCCCTATATATCGGGACAATGTTGACAACAACATTCGAATGCTTATGTCCCCGCCAGTTCTAATAATGAGCAGTACCGTCCTGAGGAGATGAATAAATCCCGGTAGGTTGCAGATTGTCCATTGTCCATTGTGTCCATTGTCCAACATATCAACGCACCGGGGCGAGGCATTTCTCCCTAGGTAGGTACTCCTCATACTTTACTTGACAGGTGCATCGTTTATAACTGTTCTCCACGTAGTCCGTGTGGAGCAAATGATCGCATTTGCTTGAAAGTTAAGCGAGCTCTTTAATTATGATTTGTGCGAAAAACGATTAGCGGGAGTAGCCTTCCATGGGATCAACACATTCTTGTAAGATTCTTCAATCTTACCAGAATCAGCATTCTCGCAAGAATCTGCCTATGCCAGGCAGATTCTTATAAGATCTGTATGATGTTGGCCAATCTTGTACAAGCTCTGCTAGGCCTTGCAAGACTGTCTTCAAAATCTTATAAGATCATGCAAGATAGTGAAGATTCTGGTAAAATCGTATAAGACTTTTTCACATGGGTGCGTACATGGCTCCCTGTATGACTGCGTACAGGGCTCCCTGTATGACTGCGTACAGGGCTCCCTGTATGACTGCGTACAGGGCTCCCTGTATGACTGCGCACAGGGCTCCCTGTATGACTGCGCACAGGGCTCCCTGTATCATTGCATACAGGGCTCCCTGAAGGATTCCCTACAGGGCCCTGTAGGATTCCCTATAGGGCTCCCTATCAGATGCCGTACAGGGCTCCTTGTAGGATTCAGTACAGGGTCCCCTGTTGGATGTCGTGCAGGGCACCCTGTAGGATTCCATGTACAGCCATATTTGCCTGCATGAAATCCTGTACGGCTACTCCAGCAACCCTGCACGACCCTGTAGGGACGTGCAGGATTTTGGTACAAATCCTGTAGGATTTTTTCACTAGGGGTGGGCCATGAGTGGGTCCCAATTTAAGCAGGACGCTGTCTACTGTCGTTTTTTCCAGCATGCTGCTGGTTTTTCATTTTTGGAAGTTCATTGCTGGCATTTCTTTGTCTTCCATTGGTCAACCGCAAAGACCACGTGAATTCGACCAGTAAGAAAACAAGAAACACCGGCAGACTGGCTGCCTGCTGAAAAAAACAGTATAGGCGGTCCCAGGGGGGGGGGGGGGGCCACGGGGGCCATGGCCCCACCTTCCAGATCGAACAAAAGTCTTAGAAAGCTTTTTGTATGTTTCATTTTGCATTGCGAAATCATTGGTAATATTGCTGTAGGAGTTAATTGCGAAGTCGAAATCAATTCTTGAACAGGTAAATACGGTTGAAAGGAATGTAATGGTTTAAGGTGGCGACTGATTCATGCAATCGATCTACGAATATGGCTATGAGTTATGATTTTCGACAGATACGAATGCTTGAGCTTACGGCGGAATTTCTTCTGTTACTTAGGTGCAGAGTTGAGAGTAGTGGTTTGAGGTCGACGGTCTGACACTTTGCGACTTGAGATGGTCCTGTACTTTGCGTCATCGAAATGTCGAGTAATAGGTAGATGTAGAATTGTTTGTGGTTAGAAGTAATATGCGACTAATATAGGTACCGATCGTTGTGCTTTTGTAGAATAAATACTAGAAAAGACTAGCTTTGTTGGGAAACGATCAAATGGGACAGAAGTTTAATTTAAAAAAAAACCTTACGTGGAATGGAGCTGATGAGATGTCGAACAGGGAGATACTGCAGCGATATTTTACCAGATTCACACTCACTGACACATTCGTTGAATCTACCCGGCCCGAAGAGACCGCACACACCAGTACTGCACCGCGAGTGATGACGCGCCCATCGCGGCGCGGCCTTGACAACTGTCGACTGTCGACGCGGCGCCGGCCGGCGGCCGTGGTGATCGTCGTTCGCGACGCGGGACCGTGCGCCGCTAGATGGCACATGAGAGCAGCGTCGGGAGTGGATAGGGCAGTGGGCTAACCGTAATTGGGGCGCGTGCGGTAGGTGAAGGTCATTGTATAGGAGCATGGTTAGTCGTGGAAAGTTGCAACGGGATAAGAACGTAAACAGTTAATGCATAATTTTAAATATGACATGCTATTTGATATTTAGGACTGCACTTCGTTTGATGTGCATTGTTTACTGCTAATAGGATGATTTAAATTATATTTTCTATGAAAGGCTAGGGACCCCTATGACAATATTCTGGCACTCTATAAAGATAATTTGTATAGGTAACTAGTAGCCCATCAGAAGCTATCGAACGAGTTTCAAGGAGTCATTTCCGTTGAGCATTCAGTAATTCACTATGATACGGTGGATCACAACCAGACGACAGATCGGTGCGTACTAATTGGTTCTAGATCATCTGATTAAATCAAGAGCGGTTCAAGGTCTGCTAGGAGTGTATACGAGAACTAGTGATTAGGTTCATGCGTGCAGCAGCAATTAGGACTTGAGATTACGATTAGGTTGGATAAATAAGGCGTTTCTGTTATTCGCGTTCTTACGAGTTAGCGCCAATAATTACTCCACCAATATTGGCACAGGGCA